CCCTGCACATTTGTGCTCTTGGCAGCAAGTGCCAGCAGTGGAGGAGGTGGCAGCGCTGGCTGGAATCCTCTCACAGCAGCTGGAACAGCTGGGGAAGGTAGGCAGAGCTCCATTGTAGTGCTGGCTTGCAGCCCAGCAAAAGTCCCCGGTCTGAGCCCACTGTCTCTCATGACACCGTGAGGCAGCTCCTAAAAACTCCCAAGGGAAAGAACCCACCCCCAGCTAAAACTCCTAAACCCCTCTCCCCCATCTCCAGACCACGTTATTTGTGTGCCAGAGTTATCAGCCAGCTCTGTTGGTTTTACTCAATCACCAACCACCCATCCCAGAGGAGCCCCTCTCCCCCTTCTCCTCCCAGTGCCTTCTCTCTGACAGTGGGAAAAATTCACTATGAAACCAAAACCCATACCAGGGGTTCATGAAGGCTCAGCAGCTCTGGCTGAGCACTCTCAGGTCCCAGCTCATCCCAGGGACCTGCAGTCCCGGTTGGGGCCGTGTTGCTGACAGGGCCCTGTTGTGGTGGCCATCAGTCCCTGATGTCCCTGCACCCCCAGCAGCCCCGCAGCAGAGGGGTCCTGGGAGAGCCCAGGCCAGGGATTGAGCTTTGGAATTGCCTCTGTCTCCACAGCAGCTCTGCCAAAGCCCAGCAATGCCCTTTGGGCTCCCTGAAATCCCCTCTCCTCTGAGAATCGGTGCCAAGGATTCCTGGGGCCTCGGGGCCACTCCCAAGAGGCTGTTTGGGCCATTCCCACCTGGGGTCACTCCATCTCCCAGCTCAATGCCTGTTGGAATCCCCCTGTCACTCCAGGAGCAGAGATGGATTCTGCCCCTGTGATCTCGATGGCATCAGGGGACATTGTGCCCTGGGGTGACCCAAAGCCGTGTGCTGCTGTGGCTCTGCTGTGCCAGGCCATGGGTGCCAAGGTCCCTTTGGCAGGAGCCAGGGCCCCTCTAGTCCTGGTCATGGCACTCACTGCTCATTCCCTGTAAATATGACCTAGAGGTCCTTCCAGAGGATGGGATGTGTTGACTGAGGATTTGCCCACGGGAGACTGAAGCAGATTTATCCTTGTAAAATGTCCTGTGGTGGTTGTGGTTCATTTCAACTCCCATCCCTGTGCTGCTAGGGCACGGGTGGGTTTTGGTTTTCCATCCCATTTCCTCTCCATGGTCCTGCTGGTAAAACCACAGGTTTGAGAGCACTGGGAGGAGGAGGAGGGCAGAGCAAGAGCCCCGTGGAAAACACTGCTCAGAAAATGTCATTTATTGGAAAACTCAGTCAACGGATGTGCTGGTCGGAATTACAATTTAATAGAAAGATTACAATAAATGCAATGATACAGAAAAACTGGAGTAAAACCACAAAGGCAGAGTACAACCTGGCATCTTCTTGGTCAGGGTGGTGAAGTGATGGTTGCAGTCCTGTCCAAAGCAATGGTCCTGTGGAGGGTCTGGTCCTCCTCTGGCTCCCTCAAGCTGTGGGGGTATCCCAAATCCCCAAAGATTGATCCAAAATCCCCCAGGTGATATATGGTCAGATTCAGACAGGAATGTTCAGCACCTCCCCCAGGGAATTTCACAAAGGAATTCTGTATTCCTGTGACTCATGGGATGTTCTGGGGAATCCTTGATGGCCTGGGTCTCCCTGGGGCTGCCCACTGGGACCATTGAGCCATGATGGCCCGTGGACACAGGTGACCCCTTAGGCTGGGTGTAGTTCCCACAGCTGAGGCAGTTTGGGAGGACAAACTCTGCCCTGCAGGGTTTGCCTCCTTCCCTTATCTAACACTGGGCAGCTACAGTGGCTGACCCATCCATTCATCAGGATGATGGGAGCAGAGCACAGTTTGGTTACACCTCACCTTATAACTCAGAACTAATGGGAGCCCCAAATCTCTGGGGAATCTCAGCTGGTTCCTCGTGGGGTCGGGCCGCTCGGCTCCGGACCCTGCGCTCCACCTGGGCACAATATTTGTCAGGAATTCCGGTGGCTCTGCAGAGGAAAGAATCCATCAGGCTCCCGGTGGATCCGGTCCCGTTTGCTGCGGGTGCGGAGGGAGCTGGGAGACGGACACCAGGAGCGACTCAGGGAGCCCAGAGCTGGCAGCTCCTGACCTGAATTCCTGCAGTTTGTGCTGCCTGAGCTGGGCGAGGCGCTGGCTGCGCTGCCGGACCTCCTGCTCCTGCTGCCGGCCCTCCTCAATGACGGCCTCCCGCCCTCGGTGCCGCTGCCGCCGCAGCTCCTGCATCTGCCGCCGCAGATCCTCGGCATGGGCGCGCTGCCGCAGCTCCCTCTGCTCCTGCTGCAGCTTCTCCTGCTCCAGCTGCTCCTGGTGGGCCCTGTGGGAGAGCTGGGCTGGTCAGAGACCCCACCACAGCCCCCCCACACCTGGCACAGCACCTGGGCTGGCACTGGAGCCCACAGAGTCACCAGCTGGAACTGGGAGCCCCCTGACCACTGCCTCAGCCATCCCTCGGTCCCGTGTGCCTCACCTGAGCAGCCTCTGGAATTCCTGGCGGTCCTGCTCCATCTGCATGGCCAGGTACTGCTCCTTCTGGGCCACCTGCTCCAGCCGGTCCTGCTTCAGCTTCTGCTCCATCTCAGCCTTCTTCTGTGCCTTCTCCAGCTCCCGCCGCCGCCATTCCCGGTCTGCAACCTCTTGGTTCCTCTTGGCCCTCAGAGCATCCTGCCCGAAGAGGGGACAGTGCTGGGCTTCCCTCTGGGGCAGCTCTGGAAGCCCTTGGTTGTGGCTTTGGCTCTGCTGGCACCACTCCAGGACATTCCCTGGCTCCAGGGGCAGGTCCTGCAGATCCCCCCACATCCAGGGCTCTGCCCCTTTGCTGGGCTGGGGACAGGGACAGGGACGGTGGCAGAGGAGCACGTCACCTGTGCCTGGGCCACTCACCCGCTCAGACTGCCAGTCCTGGGCCTGCTCCTGCATGGCCCTGAGCCGGGCCAGCTCCTTCTCCTTCTCCAGGCGCAGCTGTTCCTGCTCTGCCTCCAAGGCAGCCTCGCGTTCCTAAGGGGGACAGAGCCCCAAAATGGGACAGAGCCCCAAAATGGGACAGAGCCCCAGGATGGGACAGAGCCCCAGGGTGGGACAGAGCCCCAGGATGGGACAGAGCCCCAGGGTGTGGGACAGAGCCCCAGGGTGGGACAGAGCCCCAAAATGGGACAGAGCCCCAGGGTGTGGGACAGAGCCCCAGGGCAGCTCCTGCAGCCCCTGCCCAGCCCACCAGCAGCTCGCTGCCCTTACAGCTTTCTGCCGCTGATACTCCAGCACCCGCTCGTCCTCCAGCCTCTCCTGCTCCCGCTGTTGATCCTTCAGCCTCTGGCTCTCCATGTTGAAATGTTGAATTTCAGCAACGATTTTTCTTTTTTGTTCCTGTTTCTTCTCCCAGGCCTGGAAATGCCACGCAGGGTTGGAGGCCACCAGGCCGAGTGCTCCCTCCTCTTCCTCCTCCTCCTCCCTCAGGGCAGGGAGGCTTTGGGCCACCTCCCGGGGATGCCACCAAGTCCCCATGGGAGCAGAGCTCTGATCCTGCTGGCTGCTGTGCCCACTCCCTGAGTGTGCCAATCCCTTTCCAGCCAGGTGGAAACCTCCCTGCACCCTCCCGTTCCTTGCTCCCACCTTCCGATCCTCCCTCTTCATCTGCTCCAGGCGCTCCAGCTGCCTCTGGCCCTCCTGGTACAGCTCCTCGGCCCTCAGCGCTCGCTGCTCTGCGTTCTGCTCCATCTGCTTCACAATGTCCTGCCTGGCTCTGGGAATACCAGAGCACAAGGGTTCCCTCTGCCTCCATCCTGCTCCCCAACGCTGCATGGACGGGGCTGGTGTGGCTGGAATGGGCCGGATGCCTCCGTGGGGAAGAGGGAACCTTCTGCCCACCTGATCAGCTCCCGCTTCCTGCAGCGCTCCAGCTCCTCCTGCACCTCCATGCCCTTCTCCCTCTCCATTTCCAACATCTTGTCCAGGCGCTTCTCCTCCTCCGCCAGTTCCTTCTGGATCATCTTCTTCTCCAGGACTTGCTTGTCCCAGATCATGTTGCACTTGGCATTGAGGAACAGCTGTGGGGACAAGAGGTGTCTGTGGCTCGGAGCCGCACTGGGACACAGGAGCAGGGAGGGAAGGGGAAGGAGAGGAAGAGCTGGGAGCACGAGGAGCAGGGAAGGTTCAGGCAGTGCCAGGTGACAGCAGGGAGCGCTGGCCCTACCGCGTTCAGTTCCCTCATCTCTTCCTCCTGCTCCAGCCTCATCCTCATCGCCCTCTGCAGCAGCTTCTGCTCCTCCTGCTGCCGCTCCCCCTCCACATCGCTCTTGTCCTCCAGTTCTGCCTTTCTCTGCTCCTCCATCTGGGCGTTTTTCAGGGCTTCCTGTGGGGACAGAGAGCATTGCCCGATCCTGGACACCTTCCCGAGGGCTCACAGGGGTCACACTTCAGGTGCTGCATCCCTGGCACAGCACGGGGACATGATGAGCTCCTGGACACCTGGCACGGCCATGGGCATCCCTTCCCACATCTCTGGGCTGACACCCGGTGCCCATGGAAGTCTGGGAGTGCTGGGCTCAATTCCAGGGATGCTGCCCAGCCCCCAGTGGAGCCCCGAGCCCTGCAGCCTCCCCTGTACCCCAAAACCTGCAGGACAAAAGGGACCCCCCTTGTTGAAGCCACCACCCCTCGAAGCCGGCTGCAGAGGAGACAAAGGGGGAAACAGGAGAGGAGATGCCCACAAAAGCAGCTTCCTGTCTGGCTTTCAGGGTCTTCAGCCTGTCCCAACGCTCTGTTGAGGCTCGAGCTGATTCCTTGATCCTCTCATATTCCTTTTCTCCAATGATGAGACACGGTTGAGGCTTCTCCTGGGGAATGCTGGGGAGCACAGGGAGAGAGTTCAGTGGCACAGAGATCCCAACAGCTCCCGGTGTTCCCTGTGCTGCCTGAGCTGCCCACTCGGCCACCAAGCCAGCCCAGAGCAATGCAGGCAGCGCTGGGGAAGCCATGGGGACGTGGCTCTCCAGTTTGGGGTGAGGCAGGAAGGGAAAGTGTGGTGAAAGTGGCACCAGACTGGGATGCGGGGGGGCAGGATCCCCGGGGGTGGCCAGGGCACACTGCTAATCCCTGCTCCCCAGAGATTTTGGGATGCTGCACTGACATCACCGGACCCCAAAAACCCCTCAGAGCTTGACCAAACCCTTACACGAGGTCCCGGATCTGATCCTTGGTTATGACTCGGATGGTCTTGAGCTTGGGCTTGAAGGAGAGCAGCTCTCGAGGATGTTTTGGCACATCCTGAGAGATCACGACAGGATTGCTGGAGCCCGTGATGTGCAGAAAAGAAAAGTTTGAGGGACGCGGGTGTGGAGAGCCCGAGGAGGAGACACCGGGACGGACGGACTGAAATCCCGGCGGGGAAAGCTGGTGACGGCGGGCGAGGAGGGACCCCCGGGAGGAGTCCCCGGCACGGAGGGACCGGGACCGTGTGCCCGCAGTGGCGGCTGCCATGGCTGTCCTGCTGTCCCTGAGCCGGCTGTCACGAAGTGGCGGAAGGGCTGAGATGTGTCGGGGCCGGGTGTGACAGAGGGTCCAAACCCCCTGTCGCGATGTGTCGGAACTGACTGTTGCCATGACAACGCCCCAACAAACTCGCAGGGCGTCCGGGGGAATTGGGGGCGGAGCCTCAGGAGGGAGGGGCGGGGCTTAGGCGGAGGGAGGCGGGGCTTAGCGGAGCTGTGTCACCCAGCGCTCGCACACTTGTCCCCTGCGCTGTCCTCTTTGCACAGACCTCCTCAAAGTGTCCTTGCACGAACACGACACACGCGACCCCCGCTCCCTGGGGGTGGTCGGGGAGTCGCCAGCCCCCGCCACGCCCCCTGCTCTGTGCCCCGCCCCCTCAGCACCTTTGCTCTTGCCCCGCCCAGTCCCTCCTGACCCCGCCCAAAGCCACGCCCCCACCCCTCCACGTGGCCACTGTCGCCGAGGCCGTGGGGTCCCTGCACCCCCAGACCGGGGTCCCCCCCGTTGTAACCCAGCAGGAGCCCCCTGCCCTCCCCCAGCCCCAAATCACAACCATCCAGGCCTGGAAAGAAGAGAAGCCGTTTATTGGGGCACAGGGGATGCTCCCCAATACACTGGGGGGCCTCCAGCAGCCCCCAAGGCACTGCGGGGTGGTGGGGGGGTGGGTGCAGCAGCACCGCCCCCACCCAGCCAAATAATAATAATAAAAAATGACTTTGGTCCTGACAAAACTGGCAGGGGGGGCGGCTGCCTGGGCCGGGGGGCACCCGGCTGGTCCACGGCGGGGGTTAAGGCAGTTTGGGGGTGGTCCCTGGCAGGCAGAGGCCTGGGGAGTCCGGAGGGGCTCAGAGGATCTGGCGGGGCATCCCATAGCCCGTCATGCCAGCCTGCGAGGCGCCCCGGTTGGTGCCCATCTGCAGCCCGATGACGCTCTGCCCCTCCTTCAGCTTGTCCTCGGAGAAGACGCGCCGGTTCTCCTGCGACTTCCTGCGGGCACAAGGGGTGTCAGCATCCCCACGTGAGCCCACAGCCCGGCCTCCTCCCCCCCCAGCACCCCCACATACTTGGGGAACCAGTTGGGGTCTCCCACGAAGAGCCCGTCACCCTTGGCCACGGCCAGGCTGCCCAGGTTCATCAGGGTCCTCTGCACACACGCCATGTTCTTCCCTGGAAGACGCACAGCAGGCTCAGCTCCGTCCCCATCCCCATCCCTGTCCCTGTCCCTGTCCCACCTCACAGCCTGCAGGTCACTCACCTTCCCAGAGATCCACGGTCTGGAAGATGTCGGTGGCTGCGATGCCGTAGCGTTCAGCTGCCTGCAGGAACTGTGAGATCTGCTCCATCTGTTTGAAGGCCATGGCCGATGCCTGGATTTTGGCCACGGGCGCTTGTCCCCGCGGGTGGAGGCTGTTGATGAGCCGGCACAGCACCTGCAGGCAGGGACAGGGGTCAGGAGTGTGGCACGGTCACCCCCTGCCCCGGCTGGCCCCGGGGGTACTCACTGTGCCATCCTTCAGCCACTGCTGGAAGCCGTCCCTGCCAGGGGCCGGCTGTGCCACCGCGCTGCCACCGTCGTTGCCGCACTGTGCCAGGATCCAGCGCACCAGCACCTGCTCCAGCTCGGGGTCGTACTGCCGGTCAATCTTCTGCTGCACCTCCCGGCTCAGCCCGTACGATGGGCCCCGGTTTGCCATGCTGACGGCAGGGGGGTCTGCAGGGATGGGACCCCATCAGTGCCTCTGGTGGCGCTGGGGCACCCAGCGTGGCACACAGGGGCCCCGTGAGCTCGGAGTGGCAGAGCCCCATCCTGCCTGGACGTCCGGTGCACAGCCTTATCACCCATGCCAGGCGCTGCCCGGGCTCTGCCCTCTTCCTGCCCAGCTGGCCGGGAGCAGCTGGGCAGTGCCCACTCAAGGGGCAACCTTCCCCGGGCAGGGTGGGCAGCACTGCGACCCCTCTGTGCCCGGCTGGGGACTCGGAGCATCCCCATGCCGCGGCTCGAGCATCCCCGTCCCGCGGCTCGCTCCCGCCGCCGCGCACGGACTTGGCAGGCACCGGGGGCCGGTCGGAGCTTGTTTGCAGATCTCGCCCGTTTGCTCGGGCCCAGAGCCAGATCCGGGACCGGCGCAGGAGCGTGGGGCCAAGGCTGATGGCGGCAGTGTCCCCACCCCGGCGGGGCAGCCAGACCACACCCCTGGCCAGGTGCTGCATGTGCCAAGGTGACACCCATGCTGGAGATAATGAAGGCTGTGCCCACGGGGGACATGAGCAGAGTGGCCCTGCCTGTACAGCCAGGGTGCCTGAGCCCCCGGGGTCTCTGCCAGTGTCATGGTGGGCACATGGGTCTGCCCACCCTTGCATCGCCCCCACGCCCTGTCCTGCCCCGCTGGCATTTTGGGGACACTGAGAAGCCAGAACACGTGCAGGTGGCCCTGCCTGCCCTGGTGTCCCGGTCCCAGCTGGGGACATGTGGCAGTTGCTGCTCGGGGGTTGCCCAGCCTACACCCAGCGGGCACAAGGCTCAGCTCCGGGCAGGGCTCACCCCTGTCACACACCAGGCTTCAGGCTTGGGGGTCCTGTCACCAGGAGCAGCCCCAGGACGTGCAGCTCTCAGGGACAGGAGGAAAACCAACCCCAGCCAGGTGTGCCCCCAGATCCAAAGCCTTGGGCCGCCGTGGGGGTCTCCGGGGCGAGGCCTCGGGCACGGGGACCCCGCGGGAAGTGGCGTGGGAAGCGCCCGGCCGGAGGCCAAGGCGTTGGGAAACAAAGAGCAGCTGGAACAGGGATCATTTCCCGACCCAGCCGGGGCTTGCCCAGGAGGGAGGAGGACACACCCGGATCCAGCCCCGCTGCCCCGCCGACCTGCGGACCCCGCGGGAGGAGGCTGCGCCCAGCCCGACTGAGGCTGGGGACCCTCCGGCCATCGTGGGGGCAGCGAAGGTCCCAGTTATGGGGCAGCCACTCGGGGGTCTCCAGAGACAGCCTGGGCACCCCTGAGCTCTCTCCTAGGACTGGCAGAGAAAGGGTTGTACCCAGCCCCGCTGGGACCGAGCCACCCTGGGGACCCCTGAGATTCTCCAGTGCCAACAGGGAGGGGACCTCAACCAGCACAATGCCACCTTGGGAACCCCCGACACACCCCGGGGACACCAAGGAGGGGCTGCACCCAGGGCTTGACCACCCTGGGGTCGCCAGAGACCCCCGGGGTCAGCGGGAAGGGGACCCCGGGGGGACACGGCCACCCCGGCGGCTGCGGGGAGGGGACCGGAGCCAGCCCCGCGGGCGCGCCCCGGGGCTCCCTGCGCGGCGGGGCCGGAAGCCGCACCCGGGTCCCGTTTCCCGGGCGCGGCCGCGTGTCCCGGCGGCTCCGCGGGCGCGGTCCGACCGCAACCGCTACAGGGACGGGCCGGGGGACACGCCGGGGGACACTGGGCGCGCCCCGGAGGGTCCCCAGCCGCTCCCCATCTCCGCCCCTGGCGCTGTCCCGCTCCGCATCTCCGTCCCGGTGCCCCTGTCGCCCCCGGTGCCCGGTGCCATCCCGATCCATCACGTGCCCACCTGCGCCCGGTGCCCGGTGCCAGCCCCTCCCTACCTGCGGCGCCGGTCCCGCGCTCCCGGGGCGGCAGTGCCGGATGCCGCCGCCCGCGCCCTTTTCACGGCTGATGTCACCGGGACCGCCCGGCACCGCCCGCCCCCGGGGCGGGATCCGCCGGGGCCGCGGCCAGGGCTGGGACCGAGCCGCCACCGCAGCCCCGGGGCAGCCCCGCCCCGGGAGGACGACACGGGGGGGCAGGGGGGACAGGGTGCCTGTGGTGGGGACAGAGTGCCTGTGGTGGCCAA